GTTTATTGTAAGGAGGGGAAAAAATGCAATAAGTTTAATTGCTTAGTTTGGGAAATTCGTCCATGTCCATTGTAAATAATTGCACGTTGCATCTATTGGAAATAGGATGCTCAGTGTTAGTTCCCAAAAAGAGACTGAACTGCCCACTGAAGCCTGCAAGGACGAGGAAGAAAAAAGCATGGGAAGAAAGGATCCCCCCTGCTAGGGAGTAACCCAGGCATTTCTGGACTGATTTGGCTTAAACCCACTTTGAAGATAAGGCCACATGATGGTCCTGACAAGTCTGCTCTGACCCTTTATTGTTAGAGGGCTCTCTGTGCTTTCTTCTGCAGGTATCCCCATCGCCGCTGCGCTTTGAGAACTGCTCTGACAGTAAAATTGCACAGTGCCCCTCTGTGGGAAAGCTCAATTAAACGGGCTTCGAGCGCTGAGCTGAACCGAAGGGGAAGGGACGGGCAGTTAGGAGTGACCCGAGCTGCTGGTCACYTTTGTGTCCCTCTCTGTGGGACACGCTCTGGGCTCTGATGCTGCTGGCAGCAGAGCAGCACGTTCAGACACCTGCAGCACCGGGGACTTGGGCTATGGAGCAACCACGTAACCTGCAGCGCCTCAAGACCATGCGGCTGCCTCTGCTCTTTGYTCCTGTCGTGGTAGAACCAACTTGGGCTTAGGTCGGGGGGGATTCAACCAATGTCTCCTTGACTAATCTCAGCAAGAGAAGAGTGATGGCCAAAGTGAAGGTGGAATCCGAAACCTTCTGAGACCTGCCTGTTGTCCATACAGATGGACACTATATTTTCTTTGGGCCTCTAGTCTCTGCAAAATTCCACTCTTTACCCGGGAGAGAAGATTCTCCACTGTTCAAACCATGTCCTGAACCTGCCTCTGTTGGCTTGCTGCTGTGGGCAGATACGGCAAAAGGGGCAGTCAAGTCTCTGCTCTGAAGTGGACTGCAGTTTAAAACAGATTTCTTCTGTGTGCTGCCCTAGGTAAAGTTCCTTTATGGAATCGGCAGTTCTGAGGGAACTGAACCGGTTGGATCCAAGCTCCTAAATTAGTGCTCTTCATCTTCATTTATGTTCCGCCGTAAGAGGTGCCTTCAGCCTGCAGGATGAGCATTGTTTTCCCAGGGAGGAACTCACCCCAGCAACAAGTAGCACTGGCCTGGCTTATAACTAGTTCTGCTCAGAAGCCCCCAAATGAAAGACCTGCAGCTGCTGCTGCTGCTGCTAGAACCTATCGTGTTCTCCACACAACCACCGCAATGCTCAGCCCACCTGCCCCCTTAGGCTGCTTCTGAACACGGACCATTTTTTCTCCCCTGCCCTTTGCTTTAAACCCCCTTCCCCTTGTTTCTAGACAAGAGAATCRTTTACAGCTAGATTTGTAGATGAACTTGAGGCATAAAGTGGCTTTTTACAGAGAAATAAAAGCTTCAAAGAAGAAGGTACCAAGGTACCAGGAGAGGCAGGAGCAGCAGTGGAGCTGAGGAAGCGCAGCGACTTCCTTAGAATACAGTGACAGTCTCCTCTTTGCTAAACTTGGGCAGTTTTCCCCCTAACTAACTTACCCTGTGCAGCATTACTGCTATAGACACGTCTCCTGGCACGGGCTTTGGGGCTTGGTTGGGCTGGTGGCGAGGTCTGAGCTGCTGTGTCTGCCGCTCTTCAGCCTGGGAGTTTTCCCGACTGGAGAAGCCTGTTTGATCTGGGGGGGTTGCAGCAGGTAAAGCCTATGTTAAATATCCGACTTCCACTTTATCGTGGAGTGCTAGATAAAGCCATGAGCCTGTGCTTTGAACTCTGTGCATTATAAAGGGCTGGTGTATCTGCAGCTGGGTGGCTCCAGGGTCCCCTCGGGCAAGCGAGAGGAGCCTTGGCTGGCGACATATCCTGATCCGACTCCAACTGGAGGGTGCTGCAAAGCCAGAAGTAGGAGGAAGTTCTTGCTTCTGGCCTTYGGGAAAGCAGCTTTCTTTTTCTAAAAGGAAAGTATGGGAATAAACTCACTTCTCTGCTTAGCAAAGGTGTAGGACTAATGTGGATGGATCTGCTCTACAGGCTGATAATTTCGGGAAAGCACTTTGAAACTAGCCATTTTTTTCCTGAAGCAGCTGGTTAAGAGGAGGTAACCTGCACGTTCTCTCTTGAGAAGAAAACCATGTAGGTTCTCGTGGCAGAAGCAGGTGATGAGCGTGAAGGGACCTTCCCATCCCTCTGCCGCTCTCCTTCTTGCCAGCCCTTGGCAAGAGGGGCGACGTATCGATTACTTAGGCAGGAGGCATCTTGACCAGCTTGCTTCTGAAACCATAGCCTGCGTACCCCGGGCAGACTGTATTTCTGATTTGCATATGCAAAAGGCAGCTAAAAAGCTGATGTGCCCATATAGCTAGCGAGTCAAGTAGCAAAAGTAAATGATTTATCAAGCGAAGGTTGCAAACTTGGTCCATCAAGGAATATGACCTTTCTGTAAATAAAATACTTCCTTAAAGGAATTAGACTTGAAGCAACTCAGAGCAGGCTCCTAGTGGAAGCATCTATTGCTAATTTTTATAATGTCCACTGAGAAAGGCATGCAGTGCTTGGGCTGTTTTGTGTGCAGGACAGAAGGATCCTTGCTGAAATGCAGCTGCATTGCCCTACATCTATTTATCTGCAATTTGATTGCAACAGGGGTGCCYGTGTAGGGGAAATGCGACTTCTGCTCCATCACTGCCACATCCTGCACATGGGGCCAAGTGTGCAACTAACTGGGGGTTAGTGACCCCCAGTCACGGGGCCCACTGGTGGGAGGAGAAAATCACATCCAGCCCACCACATTCCCTGGTAGCTTGGAGCAGGACCGTGATTTCAGGGAAAAGCTAACACGTTCAGATGCAGCCGTCATGCTTATGTGCCTGTGTCAGCAGTACAGAGGCACTTAATGCTCGTATTTGCATTTAAGCTGCTAGCTTGACTTGCAGATATTCTAAGTATCCGTCGCTTCCCCCTGTCTCGGGGAGCTGGGAGCAGGGAACGGTTCTCAGGACCCGCATCTTCGCCTGACTCTCACTGTGCTATAAAAACCCCGATGGAAAGCAGCCACCCCAGCTGCTTTTAATAACCCTGTCCTACTTGGGTCTATTTTTTTTCATTTTGAAAATATCCTAAGTGATTGTTCTAATTTATACACTAATGTCCTGCAAAAAAAAAAAGGAATAATTACAAAAGCCCGTCTTTGTTTGGAGGAACGTTAAGTAAGCTCCAAGTCACTGCGGCTCGCGCTTTCACCCCGATCTAAAACACGGTCAACTACAGAGTTGTTTCATGAATAAATACTGAGTTTTACTGATAAATTATATATTTAGTATCAAGTGGGCGGCGGGGCTGTGGTGATGTATGGAAGGCCGGAGATGCAGCTGGAGTCAGGGGCGGGCAGTCGGTCTCCTCGCCCGCTGCAGCCTGCTTGGCTCTAATTGAAAGCTGTGCCCAGTATTGTTTTTCACTGGTCTCCATGAGCCTGCATTACCTAGGAGCACTTAAAGCAAGGCTGGAGCACTTTCAGATGACTTAAATCCTAACTAAGGAGCCCTGAAGTTTGCAGTCAACAAACTTAACGTGGGGRGAAGCAAAACAGGATGCAGGATGCAAATAAGTTTAAAATATTTTGGAGGCTTAATACGGGCCTGACTTACTATCAATTTACCAACTGGGAGTGTTTCAAGTCTTGTGGAAAAAAGGTAGTGCAGCGTTCTCCAAAGAGTTTCAAATTTCCTGAGCTATGGGGGAAGGACCGAGCGCTTAAGGACTTTAACAGCGGATACCTTCACGTTCCCTCGTTTCCTTATTCCTGTGCACTCTGATTCCTTCCAAAATCACGAGAGARGCGATGGCAACGTGAGGGCCCTCGAGGGCTCGCCAGCTGAGAACGGGGAGCAGAGYGGCTTGTGCCAACGCATCGGGAAGGGAAGAATCGGAGCCTGCCGGAGCAAAGCCCCGCTCCGTCCTGCTGCTGCACTTTCCATGACCCTCCGTAATACCGGGGAGGTTGGCGATCCGACGCGGTTTAACCTGCGCTGTCGGCAGCGCTATAAACTAAAGCCCCTAACAAATTGTGTGCCGAGAAGCGACAGGGAGGAAACGCGTTGCGGCCTCGGGCGCCGGGCGCAACCCCGAGCCAGGACGCGCTCGGTGCGGGGACACGGKGACACCCCCGAGCAGCCTCCTCCTTACCCCTGTCCTGTCCTAGCGATCCGTATAGGCAACCCCAAGGCCCTGGGTAAGAGGTAAGAGCAGCACCACGCTACTTGCTAGCTATTTAATTACCTTTTTAGGCGTCACGGCCAGCCCAAAGCAAATTACACATATTTCTTGCTGTTGACCTTTAAAAGTATCACAATGTAGTCAAGAGAGTATTTATAACTGCGAGCTACAGTTGTCCGAAAACACCACTTCTGCTCACTTATTTTTTATACCTTCCCCCCCCCGCCCCGATAACGTGATATTAAGCATAGACTTAATTTCTCCAACATCTGGCTCAAATTAGCTGCTAACAAAACTGCCAACGACTATTTTCTTAATCGACCCTGGGAATTTGATAYGGCCTGGAAAAAGCACATTGAAACCTTGTCCTTCTCCTAAAGAAACGCAAATGTTTACTTGAGCTCCTGCTTCCACCGCGGCCAGGGCTGCGCGCTCGCTCGGCCCAGCTTTACGGCCTCGTTTTCCCCCCTGTTTTCCCTTCACGTAAGGAAACAGATGTGCTCGCAAGCCACTCGCTTGCGCCAGCCCCAAGGGCCCAGTGGGAATTTGAGGCTCCTTTTGGTGCTCTGCGGGCCGAGGGGCGCCGGGAGGGGGGTCCTGCCGGCTCCGTGGGAAGCTCCGGATTGCGGTGGTGCAGCGGGAAGGGGGGACACGCTAGGAAAGGGCTGGGGGCTGCGGAAGCGGGTTAGGGCGGAGAGGGGCCGGCAGCGAGCGGGGCCGCGTGGCGAGCGCGCGGCGGCGGCGACGAGAGCGGCCCACCTGAGTCTGTTGCGGGATATTTACAAAGCTGGGATCCCGGGGTCCAACACTGACGAACCGGTTTGCGGGGGAGGTGCTGGGTGTCGAGTAGGCTGTGAAGGGAAGGGACACATGCGGTGAGGAAGCGCCACCGGACCCCGCGCGCGCGCCAGCCCCTCCCAGTACCCCCAGTGCCCCCTCCCGCCCGCCCGGCCGCCGCGGAGCCGTGCGYGGGTTTGGAGAGCGGCTCTGCGTGGGGCACGGGCCCCCCCGGCCCCCGCAGCTCGACACGCAGCGCATGCATGTGGGGCCAACGCCGCGTGCAACCCGAGCTCCGCCGGGAACATCCTGTGGGTAAATCCAACGGCCTGCAGGTTCGCCGGGGCGCAGGCGCCGTCAGCCTGCGGGCTGGAGCCGCGCTTGGAAACCGGAGCGGCTCCCGCAAACGTGACGCTATTAGGTGCAACGCAAGCCGAGGAGCCGGACCCCTGCCAAACCCCGAGCACTGCAATGGTTTTCCTGCAGCATTGCATTCTGCCCTGCAGCCGTCCACGGGGCCACGTACTTGCACACCCAAAGGCACTCAGTGCAGCCTCAGCCCTCTGCTCACTTGAAAATTCCCAGTGCAATCTCCTTTGTCCGCTTGTGGTTTTTTCCCCTTTTTTTCGCATGTTCAGATCTAAATTGAAATAACCTAAATAGATGCCTTAACACAAACAGTGACTCTGTCTCTTTTAAATATATTTGTGGGAATGTATTCTGCTGAACAAAATCCCCAGACAATCGAACTATCCAACGAAGAGACAAAAAAAACACAAAATCCCAAAATGTTAAAAGGAAAGTTACTTGCCAAATTCCAGTCAGACTAAATATAACGTTCAGGCCTCGAAATTGCAGAAAAAAAATAAAGCAAATGAGGGGTTGAAAAAGACACTGAGCTGTCTGCACGGCTGAAAGCCTGGTGCCTTCTGCAGGCCCAGGGCTGAACCAGTGATCCGTCCCTCTCCTGCACGTGCCGCATGCGGAGCACGGAGCAGAGCCGAAACAGGTCACGTCGCTGCTTCCCTCCCTGCTTTCCGCGGCCTCCGACTATTTTCCGCTCGGAGACTTCCTGCGCTTTAGGAGCCCTCGAGGAATTTYGCCTTTGCGAGTGCCCCGTCTGCCCTGGAGCCCAATGCAGTCCTTGCATCCCGCAGACGCCGAGTCCCAACGCCTCCCAMCACGGCCCCTTTGCCTTACAATCATCTAAACCCTTTACTTTCGCACGGAGCAGTCTGCCAAAACCACCCCATTAAACCCCAAGCCTTCATTTCTTCCTAATCCAGAAGGCACTTAGGGCACCCTCACTTCTAAAGACGATTTCTTCACAGTTCTTCCAAATAAGAGGAGAAAAAAAAAAAGAGAAAAGCTAGCATTTTGCTAGTGCTTGCAAAAAACCATGCAAGGAACACCTTTCCTTCACGAATCCTTCAGAGGAATTTTTCAAGTGTACTATTTCATAGGCCTGGGATGATTTACAAAGTGCAATGCAGCATGCATATTAGTGTGCGAGCAGCCACACTGGCTGTTATTCATATCTGCAAATCAAGGAATGAATGAACAGGGCAGATTTGGCGAGATGCTCTCCTTGCCTTTTGACCATGTTCACTTGCTATTTAATAATTCAAAGAAACCACAAGTTTGCAAATGTTGCTGGTGTCATGTATTAATATTCTCCTGCACTGCTTTAACTGCCGAACCTCACGAGGAATAAAAATTCTTTCTACCCCAGTGAAAAGCAACTGAAAGCTCAAAAATCAAACAGGCTTTTTGGTTCTCCTAGTCTATTTTTAAGTAAGCAAAATGAGTCTAGAGGCCATTTATTCCCTCGGAGCAGGTAAGTCCTACTCAAGATCTTGTTTACAGCTCCCTGTTGGCAGCTACTTATGCTGTGATAGTTTGTAAAAAATCAAAGTGAATCCGTGAGAACGCTGTCTGAAATGTCTTCTCTGCTCAAGCAGAGGTCCTGAAGCACTTCAAAACCGGTATAAGCTGCACAAAAGCACCCTCCAACCTTTCTGGATGAATTACTATGTATACCTCTCTTCTCTAATGCTCCCAACTATGTTTAACTTACTTTCTCAAAATACTCGGATGTCAGCTTGGTATTTCCTTCAGGGCGTATAACTGCATGGCTGGAGCCAAGAAGTGAAGGAAACAAGAAAACCTCCAGGGAACACGTGTGCAGAGCAGGCTCTACCCCAGGGTCTGTAGCCCAGGATGCTCAAGCTAGTGTCCTACCTCGCTGCAAGTGTCTGGATGGCACTTAGACCCTCTCACCAGCACAGCTTCGTGAAATACYCTCCTGTTCTTGTTGAAATACGGTGTATAACACCCCGGGGGTGGATTCCTGCAGGGTGTCCTGCCCTCCCATCCCTGCACTCTGTCCTGAGCTTGGAATGGTGCAAACCACTCGCACCGGTTGAGGCTGGGCCGTGTAATGTCCTGGTGCACACACATAAGCTGGGCCTGCGCTGACCCCTTCATGGAAGGGAAAAGCCCCAGCCAGAGAAACGACTGCGGAGCCACCAAGTCRCTGTGATGCCACCAAGTCGCTGTCTTTGCATGCACTTGAGGAGCACGCAAAGCAGGAGCTGGCAGGGAAAGGACATTTGCTCATGCAGACAGCTCTGATATTTCGCCAGAATGACAAGGAATTGTATGAAAGACGAGACAAACAAACAGCTTGGGGCATGTCACGCGTGTTAAAGTTGTCTGCGATAGGAGAACGGTAATTTAGGATATACTGCTCTGAAATAATTTCTACTAAGTATAGGAGTTTGTCAGCTGCCAATTTCTCCCCGTGTAGAGTGGTGAAGCTTAGAAAATACATTTAAGGGGAAAAAACCCACTCTGCATGGGGATAACTTTTTGTGAAGAAAAAATGGAGCCTTCCAAATCTCACGAATCCCATCGCCGTTGTGTCAYGGCACCGAGGAAGAGGCTGCCTTTCCAAAGGGATGGGATCCGCAGCTGAGATTCCCAACTGGCCACGCAGCAGCGGCGAATCCCCAGCRTCCATCTCCAGGGGCTCTTCCTCCCTTGGCCCGCGCTGGGAGCTCGTGCTTGGTTAATGCTGCAGCTGGAGGGTCTCGTTATGGCCCCGGGATTCATTAAGCACCTTGCTGGGCTCTGCAGCCCGCCGTCCCCTAGGCCTCGCYGGGCTGAGCAGCTGCTCCTGGCTCCCGCACCCTGCGGAGGCGGGAGGCCAAGTTCTGGTAGGGCCGTAGCCGCGGTTTGTATCTGGGCAGGGCTTTGTGCTAGGAGGGAGAACGGAGCAAATGCCAGCCCCTGGCACAACATTTCCTTGGGGGGGTTTGCTCATTTCCCCATGGCTAAGGAGGGAGTCTGGCCAGAATCTAACGTTGTTCCTGACTTTGGTGTGCAAGGGCCCATCCAATACCCCAAAGATCTGCGAGGCGCTCGGCCACAACGCAGCGACGCTCGCAGTGCTGGTGGGCTCAAGCAGCTCCTAACCATGGAAAACACCTTCCTGTGCAGCATTTATGAACCCGTGCTATTTGCTATTTGCTATATTTATTTGAGAAAATAAACAAACACAGATGCCAGCRGAGGCTTGGTGCTGGTTGTCATGCTCAGCTCTCTCCAAAAGGCCAGGAGCTTGGGTTGGTTTTCTTTTACGTGGCTAACCACTGCCACTGGCTTAGGTAGGTAATGCGATATTTTGCTTTAGGAAATAATTATTATAACCTACTCTTTAGTAAAACCTGGCCCTCAACTAAATTTTATTCTTGCTTACAATTCAGTTCACTATTACCCAACACCCTTGTGCCTTATCAAAACGAAGATGCATGCCTCAATATGTGCAAAACTATATGTTTAGCTATCAGCCCAGCTAATTAACAAACAGTAATTATTTTCCTAATCTTTTGTTTAAATACCATTAACTAGCTGCTCTTGAGAAAACCTGGGCTTCCAATTAGTGCGGCAGCTGTCTGCGGCGCGCCGAGCCGCGGTGACCGGCCCCGCTGCTCCTGCCGCTCCGTGCTGCTCCCAACTTGGGTGGACACGCGCCAGCTCTTCTGCCAGCTGAGAACGGGGCCAGACACACTTTTAGCTTGTTTACATGATCGCAGCACCGCAAAAAAGTATTAAGATAACTGCTCGGATGATGGGGGGTATTTTTTTTTTCTTTTAGGCATCACACCCTGCCAGTAAATTGAGTCACAACTGTAATGACAAATCTGTGTTGACCTAGTTTCGTTTATCCCAGCTCTGAAGGCAAGGAGACAGCAAGGCATTGCTGACTATATTCAGTGATAACTATGAGTAAATATTAACCTTTTAATTCCACAACTGACTCTCATTGATGGGACTTAAAAGACGGTATCTCCGGTCAGAAAGTGTGAAAACTTCCTGATCGCACAAGTGCTGCTCTAAGCTCTGAGACACCAGCAAGGGGAGGGAATGAATCAACCTCTCAGCTCAGCAAAGATTTGCTGAGCAATTCAAAAAGGTCTGATTCTAGAAGATCCTGTTCACGATCTTAGCAGACTGTCTCATACTAAAACCCGTTTTAAGGTCTAAGCAAGCCAGAGGAACTTGCTTAGTTGGCAAGAATGTGCTRTTGCGGAAGGCAACACAGAACTCTGAGAAATACCCGGTTTTACCAACGTCCCATGGAACCTGTGTGCATCTCCTGGACCGCAGATGGAGCTTTAAAAACAGCTTTCACATGTTCTGAATAGCAAATACCTCTTTGTACATCAAGCGGTGGCTGCATATAGCATTCAAATAATAAGCTCGAAAAGCACACAAAAGGATTTGCTCTTTCGATTAGATTGATTTTTGTTTGTGGATGTTATTTGGACTCCCTTCACTGTGGAACAAGTCCCCTACAGTTGCCATTAACGCATTGAAAGCTTCCCTTTTGTTTTGAAATGTCAGTTTGAGCATAGCTTCATTAAATCATTTCACAATTAACTCCCTGAACATCCAGACTTTTTTCAAGCACCAAGCCCAGCTGAATCACATTTGTTTCCCAGCAGAGTGAGTCCAAAGTGGTATCCCCAAGTGTGTATGCAGGAATTTGTATATTTGACTTGTGGCTACACAAAATACATATGGGAGCCGTGTGGGTGGTGGAGAGAGGATTAAGGCTTTCTCCCTGGGCTTAAGAAACACCATATCTTCTTGCCCCAAATGCAGGGCTCGGGAACCAAGTCACAGGGAGCAACGTCTGGGTTAATCTAAGAAGACTTATTCCCCAAAGAACTATAAAAGAAGTGAACTCAAAAGAGTTGTTAGTCTAGCCCAATGTGTATAAGAAGCAGTATTTGCTCTGAGGGCCTCTGTCTGAGCGCACGCAGTCCCCTCTAAAGCCCTTCTTGAGACACAAAATCACCCCTGAGTGACGGTGYGGAGGATTTCCAAGTCCCAGCCCTGTGTCTCCGGCTGGCCATGTTTTCTCTCAGATGTCACTGGGTGAAAAGCCAACAAAACTGGAGATAAAACTGAATCCTTACGCTACCGCTCTTGTTTGGTTAACACGACGAGCTCGGGATTTTGTAAAACAGAGCGGAGAGCAGACAGCTCTCCTGTCCCTCAGAGCTCGTCCGCCCACGGACGCGCTCATGGCCATGGACAGGAGATGCCTGGTGGCCCCGGCGCGTCGCTGCTGGCCCGTGGCTCCCGCGGCGGCTCTCTACTTACTCGGAGAAGTGGGAGAGGTGGCCCCTCCTTCCGTTGACGTAGTCGGAGGTTTTGTGTCTGGCACTGGCAGAGGCACAGGCCTAGCCATTGGTGGCGGAGGTGGTGGTGGCAACATTGGGGTAGGAAGGAATGGATTGTGCACCTTGCCTTGGCTGCTACCATTGGGCTGCCAAAACAACAAGCAAACACGCAAGAATTACACTAAAAATCAGCTAGTAGGAACCTTTCACAACAACAGTCCAGCTTAAAACTATACGCAATACATTTGAAATTACTTAAGGAGAGAGGTGGCAAAGGAAGTGCTGTGTCCAAGTCTCCACTGACTTCAAGGCGCTTGGCCTCAAAGCCTGCGAACCTTTTGCAACTGTGGAAATTCCCACTTTTGGYACATTTCTCCTATTAGCAACTGATCAAAATTATTCTGGATTAAATTCTGCTCTTATTTACATTTCCTGCAGCTACTAAGTCTCGCTTCGTGAGAGTTTGGGCAGTGATCTGGAGCTTCCCAGCTTCATGTCTCTACAGTATCCTGAGGATATCAGTGCCTGGGACTTGAGTGTAAATTTCTTAAAGATAYTGCTCATTAGGAGGAAAAATAAGCATTTTTGGTGGTCTTAAAAGTCACACTGATATCTTATTACAGGAAAAATGAATGACTGTGTATTAAAGCAACTGCACTCCCACATCCCTTTTAAGTCAGCGATAAAACAGCTCACAGTTTAGCTGAGCTTTGAACTGCTTAATTTTACGTACTAGAATAAAAAGAAATCTCTCTCTGTATTTAGTTTGGGATGTGCACAATTGCAGAACAGGCCTAGCTGCACAACCGTGGTCTTTCCAGTGGTCACCAGCAAAACCTGTGCAGCTGTAAAAGAGTTTTCAAGTATCCCAGAACAAAGAAGGCAGCTTTGAAAGAACAAACAGACAAACAAACAAAAAACGAACAAACAAATGAAAAAGCAAAACAAAAATCACCCCAAAGTTGGTAAGTTTAAATTTGGACCTTGCCTGGACACTTGAAAACCCTGCAGGTAGATGCCCWATACGACTATAAGTTGAAAGTAGGACAGTTTGTGAATTGGGTGGTCTGTTTTAGTGACAAAAATAACGAGACCGCTTTCAACACCACTCTATAAATTGATCTCGCTGCAGTTCTTCTGGTACCCAACATTTGCTTTCCCACTGATGATAAAAGCTCATTTTTAAATACAGATCCATATCCTAAGTACTGCTGAAGAAAATAATATTTTAATTCTTGCTAGGGTTTCCTTTAGCCTGAATTACTGGGGACAAAACACTCGTTTTGGCAAACGCTTGGGACCTTATTTTCATTCCACCTGCTTTGGCACTGACAAAAGGCCTTGCAGTGGGGTAGGTGCAAATCACACTTGCCATAGAGCAAAAATGGTTTGGGGCATAAATAAGACTCAAATTCATCTGCATTTAACTTAACAGCACTCCCACTGACTTCAAAGGCTGCAGTCTGCCGTAAGGAGCAATCCTTCAGGGTTATTTATTTTCCCAACATCCAGTACCTTTAATAAACTAATATATTAGTGACATCCCTCAAACACTATCTTGTCTCACAATTAGGTCACTTGCCTGCCAAGAAGACCCCTGCTGCATGTTCATTGTGAGCGTGCTAACAGTTCATAATGCTGAATGGTTTGGGATAAATTAAGCAAATGAATACTCAAGGAAAAAGAAAAGCACTGTATTGATTTGTTGTCTAGACATAAATGTATCTGCTAACATATTGCGGACATTATTCAAAGGCAGTGCTGGCTGGAGTTAGGTAGAGCTCAGGTTTTTTTTTTTGCTAGGCAAAGGAAAGCACCGAGGACAATATAGCTTATTAAATAAGTGTAATAAATTAGATGCTAATAATTAAACTAATTCTCATTAACACTCTCAATCGTATGCGTGTCAGGAGAGAAACAGTAATTTTGCCAGTTATGACTTCATTGGCTGGAAAAAGTTACATGCATTACATTTCATGAAATATTCAGAGCATATTTTGGATATGATTTACATAAAATTTATAAATTCTGCATTTGACCGGAATGCTATTTCAATAATAGCAAGATGATTCACTTTATTTGATTAAAAAAATGAAAATGGCTATTTGAAGCTTTGGAACTCTGCTTAATTTTTCATAGAGATAAGGGGAAAAGATAACTGCTTACAGAAATAACAAACCATAATAAACTGTACTTTTAACATCTTGAGTTCAAGTACTGGTCAACTTGATCTAAAGTGCTATAAGGCAGTATTTTTTTTTTTAATGAACTTAGCTGATCTGAAACATCTGTTTCTCACCCTCCCTTTTCCTGCTCTCCTCCCCCCTCCACCYCACTATCCCCTGAACTTCCAAAATAATTAATAAAAATTATTCTGCCTTCATATTTTGTTAACCCTCGTCCTGCTAGGGTTAGGACGCACGCAGCAAAGGCGCTTGCGGAAGGACCCAAAAGGTCACCCACTGCTCTGGCAGTTTAAGCTAATTTCACCACAATGTGGTTAAGTGCTTGGGGGAGAGTTTTTTATTGATTTTCATAATATATACTTTTTTTTTTTGCAATAGCAGCATTTTTTTTTCTTGCAGCAGCTATTTGAGGTGAGTTCCTGTGTGCAACATGCTGTTAAAATAACCCCATCAGCCCGTGGTTAATTTTACATAGGACAAACACTTCTGAAGAAAGAAAAACGGCTTCCTTACATTTAGGAACCCCACCTGTCCAGCCTGCTGACCAGCGTCGGGGCAGACAAGTTGGACAAACTCTTTCAGAGTCTCCTGAGGATGATAGCGGATTGCTGGGTGTGAGAAGTATGGCCCAGGCTGTTGAATAATGGGTGATGTTGGAAAATGAAGAGTCGATGGTGTTGCATGTGGACTTGCTAAAGGAAAGAAAACAAAGACGTTATATATAGTAGAGCTTTGCCTTCGGAAAATAAAACAGTTTTAAATCTATTGTAGTTTTCCTCTTTTTAAACGTACGGTTTATACATCTGATTGTCACGACTGATATATTAGACCTCATTGTGTCCTACACTCACTTCATCTAGGTCCTGAAAATAAATGGAACCAGACATTTTAACGGATTTTCTGTGTTTTTAGTGGACATATATAAAGGAACCCACAGTTCTTGGCTAAAGTGACAGCTATTCATCACCTTAAGAGCAGTCCTAATGAATCCAGCAATAAAAAAATGTATTTGGGAGATTAGGGTTAAGTTCCTTGACATTTCATTTAACTTGGATTTGCACATATGAATCCGTTTTTATATTGCACTATAAATGGTTGATAATTTAAAGATGCTCAAGCACTTCTTGTTGGGGTTTTTTCACCTCAGTTTAGGAACATTTATTTTAAGTAACGCATTTCAGGCTAATGAGTATGCACAAAGTGGCAAGATTGTCTGGAAAACTGCATTTACATTTCTCCAGAATAACGTTGGGTGCAACTCTCCAACAAGCCTCCAGCTCGCACTCGGGGATGATGGTTAGTTTGGTGGATTTGGAGGCCAACGAGGCCAAGTGAAAAGCTGGCAGGAGGATGGGCAGTGAAGGTGTAATGTACCCAAGCCCGCTGGCGATGACAGGTTTTACCCTCAGTTGACTTCAGCAGAACTGTGCAAGTGCAGCTGAAGACAGAGCAGCCCTGTCCTATGTTACGTGACACCTCTGGCCCGTTCCTTGGCGTTCTAGTTATATTGGGTTGGACCTTCGCTGGCCAACAGTTGTTTCCACTGCTAGTTGTCACCACGAGGTAGCAATGGCCACCGTTTGTAGTGCCATGAATTCTCCTTTTCCTCGTTAAAATGCAAATGTACCTTTCTCAAGAGGGGCCAGGTGATCATGAGCTCACCTTCACGCTGTAGATTATCCCTCACCAGAAAGGGATGATTATATCCCCCTGGGGATGCTACTGCAATGAGTTTGGAGTTTGCCTGCTGCTCCGTTGAGCTTTCAGGGGTGTCTACGTGCACACATTACACTTGTACTCTAAACATATCTGATTAAATACAAGGTTTGCAAGGCAGCTGGCGGCCTACAGAAAGACATGGCTTGGCTTTGGAGCAAGCTAAAATATATGAGTGAAAAAACAAGCTGCAGGTGCTTTTGTAAAACTTGGAGAGATGCAGAAAACATCCCTTTAAYAGGGAATGTTATCAAAAAGCCTCAATTAAACAAAAGCTAAAATCTCTGTCTTAGTCTTGCTCATTGAYAGTTTAATAATATGACTCTTTATAAACGTATTTTTTTTTTAGTGGGAAGCATTATTCAACCATTAACAAACTCAGAGCCTGAAGATGTGAATAAAAAACGTAGCAYAAGGAGAGCAGCAAGCAAAGCTACAGCATTAACCTGTGAACCTTCAATAGGGGTTGACTGGGCAGCACTTATATGTATCCTATACTTCTATTCCATGACTCCATATGAATGATTGCCTTGACACCACGACCACCAAGAGCTCCCCTCCTGCCTGGGATGCTCTGGAGAACTGGCAACTGCCCCATGAAAAGCCCTGTGAACAAGACCYATCACCTGGTCATCAGGCCACAAATCTGGTCATCAGGCCACAAAGGGAAGCATTTCCAGGTGACAACCATGCAGGGCAGCAATTCTTAGTCACTGCTGATGTGGGATGACCATGAAGCTCTCACCCTTGTCAGGAAAAGCCCTGCTGCACCACCAGCAGCCCCATGAGTCCTCCTGGTCTGCTCCCCTTAAACGAGTTTAAAATGCTCGTAACAGAAAGAGCAATGCATGCTACACGTGTGATGTGGACTGCAGCTCATGCAGCAGGGAAGCGTCTCCAAAAGCAAGCAGAGGGATGAAGAAGCCAAAGGGAGCGTGCAGCTGTCAGCTACGTATGGTCCAAGCGGATGGGCATCCAGTGATATCTTTCAGATAGCGTGAGCTATACCTACACTGCAAGAGTCAGATAGCGCTCTGCTGGTACAGAGCCTAAACCCTCAAAAAGGATGAAACGAAGACTGTTTTCCTGCCCCGGCCTCCTGAGAGCAGCTGTATCTCCAAAGTGTGCTATTAAAGGCAGAAATAATGTGGGATTCATCTTAGTAAATGGGGTGCCTATCACAACGCTAATCTCAGATAGTTATCTGGGAATCAATGGAGAGCTACTAAATAGATGGAGGCTAAGGAGCCATTTATCTCACGCAAAAATAGACCACGGCATTTGGGTAGATGAATCACTCCTTCGACTTCATCGACAATATTGACCGGCTCGCCAACGCAAAGGAAGGGACCCCATGGTTGCTAGTCCAGGATGGAGACACCTCCAGGGCTAATGAAAACCTGCCTTTCCCGAGCGGATTCCACCGACGTGTCAGCCTCCGCGCTCACTTTCTCCACCTCTGTATCCGTGGAGCTTCATTAGTGCCACTTATGTCATAACTCATTTACATGTATGAATGTCTCACTACCTTCTCCCTGAATTAACAGCAAGCTTAGAGCTTGTCAAAATATTTTGCCAAGAATGTTTATTCAATAAAAACTGGTGGTAAGAATTTTGATGACTGTGAAAAGATTTTCATCGGGAAGCGGTGTTTCTATTCTTTTGTTGATAGCAAACACAGTTTTCCTATTTTTCCTCTTCCACTCTTTTATATCTACTTTTCTATTTCCCCCCTTTGCTTGTAAGCCAAATGCAAGATGAAGGTTGAAGAGAAAAGTGAAAAAGTTTCCATGGAAAATAACAAATTAAATAAAAAAAAAAAAATTGGGATTTTAAAAAACATTTATTATCCAAGTTTCATTCTAGCACTAGGTCTGTTAACACTGTTCAAAACCATTATGTTTGTGCACTGTCCTATGTACACATCTGGGAACAAATTAATCTCCTTTCTTCCTCCGAGTGGAAAAAGAGACAGAAACATAGCAAGGAATGAGCAACTGCAGCCAGAGAACACGGGGAATTCAAACCCAGGCTGGAGACCTCTCTGCATGAAGCTCTTCCAAGGTGCGTGTGTGCATAGGAGCTGGGCTGCTCTACCAAAGATGTGTTATGACTATGAGCAGCATTTACAGGCCTGCAAGCGTGGGGTCATTCTCTGCTGCCTTTGACCTCCTCAGCGTGTCAGATGAGCAAACAAATTGGAAAACATTTGTCAGGGATCTTCCYGAGGAGTGGGTTTGGTGTGAGACAGAGGAGAAAAATGGATGCGGAAATGGTACAGAGTAAYTCCAGAGGAAGGAGGAAAGAGGGGCTCCCGCTGGCTCCTCTGCTCCAAGGGCTCCTGCCCATTCTGAGAAGGGCTGGAGGAGGGAAATCAGACTGCTGTCAGTCCTTGGCCTGTGCCAYATGCTGCCACGAAGGATTTTGCTTTCTCGGGGGAGATGGACTAGTTTAAGAAGTAAGGAATGGCACAAAGGTCTCCACAAGATTTGGTTTTGCAGCTTCTCACTGGGAAACACCGAACTTCTCCTGTGGCACCAGAAAGGACTGTGGAACAAGAAGGAGCCTCTATTACTATTAAACTGATGAACGTTACAAGCACGGCTGCCATTTACTAGTGTGGTCGAGTGAAGTGCTAAGCTCTAAGATCTGGAAAGACCACGAGCTCGAAAGCCACCTTGTTGCCACCAACTCCAGCGATGTAAACCTGGCCTTTCTGGYGATGGAGGTGCCCAGAAACCTCACTTGGCAACCAAGTTTTAGGTTAAAACCGAGTTTCCAAACGGAGAACTCACCAACATTTTAAATCAATTAAAGGATGTGAGCTGGAGCACACTTCCCATTCCAGTTGCTATTTCCCCTCTGCTTTTCCTGAAATATTCCATAAAAATTCACATTTCCCTCTCCTGTTATTCGAACTGTATCACCTCATTCTTTGCAAGGCAACTCCATAAAATTCTTTTCAGCCTCTCTGTATTTTCCCTGAAGCACAAAGTTACCCAGCTATTCTGCTTTAGGGCAGGATTTTAGCTGCCTCTTTTCCACAAGCCATCACCTAGATTCACCCACACTGGTCAGGGACTCCTCTCATTATAAATGTGGCTTTTGGCATCAACTTTTTAGATCAATTCCTAATTCTGCGGGAGAACCCCAAGCAACGCAAGCAGTACAGCAATGCCAAGAGTAAAACCTGAACTGCTTCCAGATGTGGCAGTATTTTCGACTCCCATTACAAAAACCCTGCCGCAGCGTGAACCACTGCAGCTTCGTCTTTTACATGAGAACTATTAATTGGTGATAATCAAGTGGAAGCAATTGAAATTCCCAATTCTTCTGCTTACCCTAATAATGACATTTTGCAGGTCAGAAACTTGAAGCTTATTAACATGATCCAGATGAAGCTAATRACTGAATGTAAGATCCTCATTTCCGGGCAACTTTTTATCTTCCTAACCTTTCTGAAAAGCCTCTACCCAAACAAACTGGACTGGTTGGACAGACTCTTCTTCTTAAGAGCAGCCCCACCTCTGTGCTACAACAAAAGCACACTTGCCTCTAAAAGCAACCAGTGACCATTCTTAAACCACTTCACCCATGATGCTCCAAAGCGTTCAATAAAAATGACAAAGCCATTGCTTCTGAAAACCCTGCTTGGAGTCATGCAGGTTTTCCTGCCCATCAGAAGGGGCAACCACTACCTATATGCTTCTGCTGGGATATTACACGCCTCAGTCAGTGCCTGTAAATTCTTTGAGATATTCAAATGGAAGATAAAACAGAGATCTTTGTCTATTATTTATTTACTTATTGACTGATTATTTATGTGCCCTAAGCAGCTCCATGCTGCCAAGCCGTTTTTCTCCCGGCGTCTTTCAGCCTGTGACATTTATACTTTATTACTGACCTCACCAAATGATATAAATTTTAAGTTCCACCACCTGTGAAAAAAAGGGGTGTATTTCAAAGTCAGAACTTC